CTTTTAAAACCTGTTAGGTTTGATTCCACCTCAACATTAAGAGTAACTTCCTGATAGTAAGAGCTGTTTGACAGTGGAACACACTCCCTTGGAGTCTCCTTCTTTGGAGGTCTTTAAACAGAGGCTGGATGACCATCTATCAGGGATGCTTTGATTGAGAGTTCCTGCATGGCAGAATGGGGTTGGACTGGATATCCCTTGTGGTCTCTTCTAACTCTAGGATTCTACGATTCTATGATTCTATTTGTTTCCTTTTTCTGCCCCCTTTCTCCCAGAAAGGGTCCCAAGGCAGCTCACAAACAAAAACATTTTAAAAGACTTTAAAATAAAAAATTTTAAAAAATGATATGCAACTTCTAGAACTTCCTCTAAGGGATCTGAGGATTTGTAGTCTCGAAAAAAAACATTTCCAAGCTCTGGGCTGGAGATTCTAATAATAGGAATAATAATTATAACAATAACAACAACAACAACACCAAACCTCTCTACCTGATGAGCAAATTTTAACCAACCAATAAATCATGAAATGTGAATTTCACTTGATCTGCTGGCAATTTCAGTAGCTGGACTTCACTACAACCCAAAAGCAGCTAGAGATCTTTGGACATTCAAACCAGAGCCTGCGGTGTTACCACAATGGTAATATTGATTTTATTTTCTTAATATTTTTGTTCCCAAGCCAGCTAATACCAGGAGAAGGTCCAATAATCCAAATTAAATTCTCTGGCATGCAACCATATTTTAATTCAAAGCCTACACACTGGGTAATAGGTGCCTCCCACATAAATAACATCTTTCCATGCAAGAAGAGATCTGATCAATTGACCAATTTAAGGGCAATCAGTTTGCCACATTCATGTTTTCTTGAAGCAATTTTCTTGAAGCAATGAATTCAACACGGTTTTGTTTACAGCACATGACTACAGGTAAGAAAACTTGGAGACCCCACTTCCAGATTTGAACCAAAGGGTCTCTTATGACTACCAAAAACTTGCATTTCCTAAAACTGAAAATATGAATCCCAGATGATCCAGAGACCAAACAAGCTAGCTTATAATTAAGATTTATTGGATACTGCAAAAGTTCAGCTGAGCCCAAGGAGTGAAGAAACTCCTTTGAAACTTATTACATGCAAAGTGTTTTAGCAAGCAGAAAGGGAAAGCTCAAACCAAACTAATGCAAAGACATGACATTGCTTTTTCTGTTCCGGTAAATTGTGCAGATTCACATTTACAAGACAAAGTATAGGAAACACAGTCCTTTGAAGGGAAATAAAAATTTTTTTAGAGGTAAGTGGAATTAAAGAATTCATGAAATGTAAGAGACTGTTTGGAAGTCTAGCATGGAGGGGAGGAAACTCATCCTGACTATGGTTGCATCCGCACTACAGTGATAATCCAGTCTGACATCACTTTAACAGCCCTGGCTCGGTGCTAGGGATTCCAGGGAATTGTAGTTCATTTTGGTACCAGAACTCTCTGACAGAGAAGGCTGAATGTCTCACAAACACTACAGTCCTTAGAATTCCCTAGCATTAAGTCAGGGCAGTTAAAGTGGTCTCAAACTGGATTATTTCTGCAGTGTGTTTTGGACATAAGACTTCTATTTAACCTCATCTAACAAGACTGACTGCAGTGCAATAACCCAGACAACTATGTAGAGAGATCTTGTAGCCCCTTTGAGAATAACTGAAAGAAAGAAGTTGGCAGCATGATCTTTCCTAGACTTATCTACTTCCTCAGATGCATTTAGAAGTGGACTTAAGTCTATGAAAGCTTCTTTCTTTCAATTGGTCTCAAAGGTGCTACATGATCTCTCTACATATTGATTCTATAGACTAATATGGCTATATCTTTGAATTCTACCAGACAACAAATGGATAATCATATATATATGTGTGTGTGTGTGTGTGTGTGTGTGTAGTGTAGTGTGGGATTTTGGATTGTATTTTAACATTGTATGGAGTTTTAATGCTGTGAGCCGCCCCGATTGTTTGACAGAAGGGCAGGATAAAAAATATTATTATTACTACTACTACTACTACTACTGCTACTATTATTATTATTATTACGGTATGTAGTGTGGACAATGTTCCACTGAAAATACAGCAAATGTTCAATTTCTCTGGTTTGTTGCAGCAAAAAACACAATAAATCAAGCAGCAATTAATTCTAGTATACGATGCATGCCTCAGAATTCCTACCCAATGCACAATATTGAGAAAGATATTATATTGGGTTTGAAAGCTTAAAACATTCTAATAATGTGACCATGGGCATCAAATATACCACACCTGAGTACCAACCATAGTGGTCAAGAGGCTCCTTCTGTAAACACGACTGAAGTTCACTGCAACACATTTATTAAAGCAAATACTTGGGCACAGTCAAGTTGGTGCTACTGTCCTTTTGCACTTTGCTTCCAAAGGGCAGATGTATTTGGAAGGCACAGAGGTCCCATCAATGATTAATAGCTGGCCTTTTCATTCCAAAACACTAATGGGCAACTTTCAAAAACTTTGCACAGAAGACACTTTTGTAGGGATACACAATGAATATTATCCCAGTAGGGTGAAGCAATACTGCATGGGAACCTTTGTGGCCTTTAAGTTGCCTATAAATTTCAGCTGCCTTGACTGCCTAGGCAAAAGGTGGGATATAAGAAATAAATTTATTATTATTATTATTATTATTATTATTATTATTATTATTATTATTATTATTATTTCTTCTTCTTCTTAGCTAAGGAGTACTCAGAGGTGATTTGTCCAGTTCTTTTGTCTACTACAGCACACGGCCGTGGAAGCCATTGGGTGAACTTGGATGAGTCACACTCTCTCAGCCACAGAAGATGGCCACGGCAAACCACCTCTGAAGAAACTTGCCATGAAAACGGCATGAGGTTGCCATAAGTTGGAGATGGCTTGAAGGCACAACAACACAACACACCTGGTGCTGCCCCTTGCTTAGCTTCCAAGATCAGACAGGATCTGGTTGTTACGGTTTTAGCTAAACTGAGTTCCTGAAATGCATTGGGAGAAAGCAGCTTATTTTTGCATCATCCATTTTTATTTAGCCTGAGGACATTTCAGATTTTAAAGGTGCTCCTATGCCAGGAGTACAGAAACCACAAGCCCAGGGTGACTAGACATCCTCCTCTTCCCTGGACATATCCTCCATTTCAACCTTCTTCCAGGAGGAATTCCAAAATGTCCTCCATTTTGAGCATGAATGTCCACTTCTCTGAGTGTTTTCAGCTTGTGCTTGGGAACGTCCTCCATTTTTGCGCCGCCTTGTCCTCCTTTGCAGCTGGGACATCCGGTCACCTTGCACAAGCCATGCCCACACCGTGCAAAGGATTTCAAACTAGCAAAAGGGAGGAAAGTCGGCTTGCAATCTGGAAGGGAGCACAGAGAAAGGAGCCAAAGGCAAAAATCCTCACACGTGGCGTTGTCGTGTGGAGCGGCATCTTTTGAAACAGAGCAGAGGAGTGCTTTTTCCTCCTCCTCCTCGGCTTCTCACTGGCGGATGTCGGAGGACGAGATGGCCCGTTTCCTCCACAAGCCAATAGGCAAGGAAAGCATGGCAGGAAGGCTGAACCCATAGGCCAGGCCAGAGCATTGGTTGGCTGGGTTCAATGCCGCCAGACAAAAAAAGGTGCCACCTTCCAGCCCGACTTCCTTCAACCTGCCACCACCCAACCTGTGCATCCTTTCCCGGCCCATTGTTTCCCTTCCTTCCCCCCCAAAAAACTGAGTCACTGCCACATTTGTTGTTGTTCACTGCCTTCGCCTCGGTCTTGACTCATGGCAGTGACTCTATGGATGAGACATCTCCAGACCCCTGTCCTCTCCTGCAAACTCATATTCGTGGTCTCTTTAATAAAGTAAATAAAGCAAAGTGGTCATTCTTGCCATGCCACCCAACCTGTGCATTCATTCCCTTCTCATTCTCTTCTCTTTCCCCTCCACAACTGAGTCGCTGCCACAGGCTAAGCAACAAAACCACACCCCACACTCTTGGTAGACATTCTCCCCTTACAAGCAAAGCCATGGGGCTGGTCATTCTTGCAATACCACCCAAATTGTGCATTCGTTCCCCGCCCATCCTCTTCTCTTTTCCACTTCAACTGAGCACTGCTATATGCTATTTTGTTGTTGTTAGCTGCCCTCACATCAATCTCAACCCATGGCGACCCTATGGATGAGACATCTCCAGGCCCCTCTGTCCTCTCCTGCTGTGCCCAGCTCCTGCAAACTCAAACTCATGGTCTCTTTAATAAAGTTTAATAAATCTATCATGTGGCCTTCCTCGCTTTCTTCTTCCCTCCACCTTTCCTAACATTATTGTTGATTCATGCCTTCTCATTGGTACCCCTTAAAAGCAAAGCCATGGTGGTGGCCATTCTTGCAAGGCCACCCAACCTTTGCATTCACTGCCTACCCATCATCCACTTCTCTTTCGCCCCCACAAAACTGGGGGCCTTTGCAGATTGCCAAAAATAGTGCAAATTGAGTCCACTTTAAGGGTTAGAGTTAGTGCTAGGGAGTCATGGGAATTGTTTTCTTTTTTCTGAGACATTGAGCCTTCTCTGTCAGAGAGCTCTGGTGCCACAATAAACTACAGTTCCCATGATTCCCTAACCCTAACCCTAACCCTAAAAGTAGACTCCATTTGCACTATTTCTGGCAGTCTGCAAAGGCCCTGAGTTGCTACCAGAGGCTAAGCAACAAAACCACACCCCACACTCTTGGTATACTTGTATATTCATCCCTTAATGTATATATTCATCCCTTAAAAGCAAAGCCATGGTAGTGGTCATTCTTGCTATCTCTATTCACTCGCTTGATTCAAGTGCCTTCTTCCTTCAAGTCCTTTCTGACCTATGGACTCCTATCATGGAGTTTTCTAGGCCAGGTCTGTTCAGAGAGGAGCTGCCATGGCCTTCCTCTGAGGCTGAGAGAGTGTGGGACTTGCCCAAGCTCACCCAGTGGGTTTCCGTGACCGAGCCAGGATTCGAACCCTGGTCCCCAGAGTCATAGTCCAGCACTCAAATCAGTATGCCACACTGGCTCACACTCTTATTTACTCTCCTTTGTCCACCCCAGAAAGGTGGCTGGAGCATGACAATCCTAAAGAGACCCTATCACAGGGTTTTCTTGGCAAGTTTCTTCAGAGAGGGTTTGTCATGGCTTTCCTCTGAGGTTGAGAGAGTGTGGCCACCCAGTGGGTTTACATGGACAAACAGGGATTCGATCCCTGGTCTCCAGAGTCATAGTCTACCCATGAGTTCAGACTCCAAGGCTTCTGGGAGTTCTAGTCCTCCAGGTTCAGTCAAGAGAGTCTGAGGGAACTCCACCCACATCTCCAGCTCTGGAGTGCTTTTCATGAGAAATCCTCTCTTCTTCCACAGTGCCACACCTTCTTCACCTTCCTTTCCTTGGAGTGGGACACTTATATTTTCCTCCCTCCATTCATATTATTCTATGTCAGTCACACTCTCTCAGCCTCAGAGGGAGGCAAACAATCTTGCCAAGAAAAGCCCAGGATAAGTTGGAAACAACTTGAAGGACCACAACACACATACATATCCTGCTGTGTATGGCTATGGAAGGGCGGCCTTGGGCAAGTCCCACTCTCTCAGCCTCAGGGGAAGGCCATGGCGAACGCCCCCCCTGAATAAAACTTCCCGAGAATATCCCATTAGTGTCTCCAAAAGTCAGCAATGCCTGGAAGGCCCTCAACAAGAAGGAATCCAAAGGGACTCTCCATTGTCCTTCCATTTTCATATCAAGGCATTTTACCGGGGTAGGCAACCTTTCCCCTTTAAGGGCCGAGGGACTTCAGCTCCCAGAAGCCTCAGCCATGTTGGCCAATAGTCCCATGTTGGCCAATAGCTCCTGGGATTCTGGGAGCTGAAGTCCCTCGGCCCTTAAAGGGGAAAGGTTGCCTACCCCGATTTAGACTTTCCCGCCTTTTCCCCATCTCTGGCCCACGAATGAAGCCAAGAGAGCAGATTGGGGTGTGTTCGGTGCCATAAAACGCCTTCCCTGAAAAGACCCAAGGCAGGGTCACCTCCACCAGCTTTGTGCCCAGCCAGAGTTGGAGGGGACCCCATGAGGTCATCCAATCCAACCCCATCATGATGTGACAGGAGACACCATCCAAGCAGTGGCCTCACTAGGGTTGGGGTCACCCAGTGCGGTCACTCCTGGTGTCACCCCCCCGCTTGACCTCCTCCTCCCATCCCACACCATACAGACCCCTTAGTCATGTTTTCGTACCAAGTTACTCATAAATCGTAATTCCCATAACTCACTGAATATAAGGCTAACAGTTGTAACAGAAAGAACTAGCAAAATTAAATGTATAGCTTTCGATTGCAATATCGGACGCACAGAACAAATGTGTTTACACATACATCGTTTCAAGTGGTGAAGATTTGGTAAAACGTGATGTGTTTAAAGAAACTTGGAAACATTTTAAAAATTAAAAATTGAAATTTTAATGTTTTAAAACACACGCACACAGGGGCCTCTCCTTTCTCCTCCCACAGAGCCTCACCCCATCTCTTCAGCATTTTAAAGAGATACAGGCCAATGCCACAGCTTGTTTCTACCAAAATGAAGATATTTGGGGAGCAGTGGTGTCACCCAATTTTTAGGGTGTCACCCGGTTTGGTCCATACCCCCTGCACCCCTTTAATGATGCCACTGCATCCAAGGACCCCTCTGGGTTGAAAAACCTCCAAATTGGGGTGTTCCAGGTAATTTGGACTGCAGTGCCCCAGAAGTCTCAGGCCAGTGGTCAGGATTCTGGGAGCTGCAGTCCAAAAGATCTGGAAGGCCACAAAGTTTGGGAACCACTGCATGGGAGGAAGAAGAGTGCAAACTGGGAGTCTTACATACACCAACCCAGTTTTAAAGTCCCCACCTGGGAGCAGTCCTCTGCCACTACCCCAGGAGTTGCCATACTGAAGGCTGGAGAGGGCTCCTGTACCTTTCAGGAAGAATTCAAAGCTACAGCCCTGTTAGTCTGGAGAATCATTATGTAGTAGAGAGATCTTTGAGACTCACTGAAAGAAAGAAATTGGCAGCAAGAGCTTTCCTAGACTTAATAAGTCAACTTGATCCAAATGCATCTGAGGAAGTAGACTGAAGTCTACAAAAGCTCATGATGCCAACTTCTTTCTTTCAGTGAGTCTCAAAGGTGCTACAAGATCTCTCTCTACATACTGACTCTACACAGCTATATCTTTTAATAAATAATAATAATAATAATAATAATAGAAAGTTGGCCCTTTCTTTCAGTGAGTCTCTAAGTTGATACAAGATCTCTCTCTACAGATTGAGTCTACAGACTAACATGGCTATGTCTTTTAATATTAATAATAATAATAATATTAGAAAGAAGTTGGCACTTTCTTTCCATGAGTCTCAAAGGTGCTGCAAGATCTCTCTCTACAGACTGAGTCTACAGACTAACACAGCTATATCTTTTAATAATAATAATAATTCAAAGGTGCAACAAGATCTCTCTCTACAGACTGAGTTTACAGACTAACACAGCTATATCTTTTAATAATAATAATAATAATAATAGAAAGAAGTTGGCACTTTCTTCCATTGAGTCTCAAAGGTGCTGCAAGACCTCCCTCTACACCCTGATCTTTCTCAGCAAGTCTTGCTTGTCCCACAACAGAGAAATGCCCTCTTTCCAAGCTCTGGTTTTCAATGGGAGTTCTAGTCCTCCTTACCCAGGAGCCCCCCC